GTATCAAGCTAGGCCTAGTAGAAGTATTGGCATACAATATTAAATTAACTAGTTGTGATAATTGATAAAGCTTTTAATATGATTTATTACACGTCACTCTGGAATACTTGATTCTGATTGGTCAGTCAGGACATTTCAAGATGTGTTATGTAAGGATAAAGTACATCCAGGGGGTATTGCAGAATAAAGCCTGACAGGCTTATTGGTAGCCTGACGTGAAGGCGAGCAATGTTGTATAAGACTGAAGAGCTTTATTCTTTATTCTGGATGTACTTTATCCCTTACTTATAAGCAGGGCCAGACAGAATCTGCAGACATCTTTTGCTATTGCTGTGCAGAATTTTGGCAAAAATCTGATTAGATTCACTTTATTTGGTAAAAAAGCAAGTCTTCTATATAATATATCTACTAAAAGACAGCAAATATTACTTTACACACTGTATTGCAAATAAAGCATATGAATATTTTCATGTTAGTCAATTATATTACTGAAATTAATTTAAAATTGAACAAATGTACACATTTACACAAGTAAATAAACAGAATAAATGATGGGCTAAAATCTGCGGAATTCTGCGTGTGGAGATTCTGTGTGGGCCTAATTATAAGGCTTGTAGGCTTATTTTACAAGTTGTATTACTAGTTATATTGCTAGTTGTTGATTTGATGATTGCTGAATCTGATGATTGCTAGTCATTTAATATAAATTGCTATAGTAATTTTCCTATGTGAACAAATGGAGCGTTACTGTAAAGGGTTAACAAACAATTGGCCAATAAACAAACAGAAGAATTTCAATTAATTTTGTAATTAAAGGCATGTTGTAATTCAGACCAACATGAAAAATGTATCTAATAAAAAGTCTATAAAATTGTAATATTGTTAAAAGGCTTTCGGAAAGTTTAAATAATTAATAATCATTAATTATAAATGAACTATAGAGTAACGTTGGACATTTAAAAATAATGTTTAAAGAAGGCCTGATATATTCACCTGTTGTAAATGTTTACAAACTGTGTTCCTAGAATCCAATAAAAGTAATAATAAATTAATTGTCAGGAGTTTGCATGTTCTCCCCATGTTGGCATGGGTATTCTCCGAGTGCTCCGGTTTCCCCCACTGTCCAAAGACATGCACTATAGGTGAACTGGGTAAGCTAAGTTGTCCGTTGTATATATGTGTGAATGTGAGTGTATGGGTATTTCCAAGTACTGGGTTGCAGCTGGAAGGGCATCCGCTGTGTAAAACATATGATGGATAAGTTGGCGGTTCATTCCGCTGTGGCAACCCCTGATGAATAAAAGCACTAAGCCGAAGGAAAATTAATGAATTAGTGATCAAAATGCAGAACAGTCAGTTGTGGTGAATTATGGTGAATAAAGAGAGTGAGAGAGAGAGTGAGAGAGAGAGAGAGAGAGAGAGAGAGAAAAAGAGAGAAAAAGAGAGATGCCTAAACTCCAACTACTTTATTCAAACCTGCAAAAAAAAACTAGCAATCCACTTATTTGTTTGCACTATAGGCAATCATTTGCTCTTAAATGTAAGGGAATATAAATTGCAATTGATAAAAAAACAAACATTGCACCATTTCAGCATTTTCAGTCCAGGAAAGCAATGCCCAGACAATGCAGTTATTTGCTTCAGCGGAGAGCGAGCTGAGATTTATTCTCCAATAAAGCTGCCTTTATATGGGCCCAATATAACCAGGTTTACGTACCGTCATGGTTGGGGTTCCCCAGAGTCCAGGGCTCATCTGAATCGAAGTGTGTGTCTCCTCCAATCCCTGGACCGGGGAAGTAGGCATGTGCAAGAAAGCCCCCTTCTCCGTCGAAAGGGGAGCTGTCGCCGTGAAAACCTGAGGCGAAAATAATAGTAATATCCACATCTTTCTTGCTGCGCTCCAGTTCGCTGTACGGCACTGCCTCGAAACGCAAGGGCGTCACGTTCTGCCACACGTCAAACGCCCGCCGGATGGCATTGTGGGTCTCTTCTGCGCCCACTTTAGGCGTGAAGTTTTTTATGCTGGAGAAAGAGCAGATGGGGATAATCAGAAAGCAGCAGCTATCATTAGAAAACAACAGAACACGTTACCAGGTTGCATGTTGCTAATGATGCGTCTTATATCTCATTTTTACTCATTTTCCTTTCCAAAGAGTACTATAAATAATACTACAAAGTTGTTTTTAAAAGTTAGCAATTTGATATTTGTTTGTTAACTAATAAATATGCAAATATGAATTATTTTCATGCTGCTTATGCTAACATAAGTGCTTTCTGTTAGCAACTGCGCAGCCAAAGTACTTTCAGGTCTGTTTTGACCGCATTACAGTTCCATATCACGACGCCAAATGATTTCAGTTATTTCAGCTATGTTTCTATCTAAAGATGCGAATTAAATTTATGCGTAAAATTGGAATATCGCCTAAAAGATGAGCAAATAAAGCAATGTTTCCATCCAATTAAAGAGTTAAAGAGAACACAATCGTCACTTCCTGAGATGAACTGGCGGCAAATATCAAAAGAAAAAATTTAATTTTTGTAGTCATCTTACATCAATCAAACTGACTAAAATATCAGATTAGACTTTATAACATATAAAAGTAAAATGTATAACATAAAAAAGTTGTCTTGAAACCTGATTAACTCATTAAAATAAGTTGAATCAACATGAACATGTTTGTTGTCATGACTTTTGGTCAATAATTCTTTTTAAAGTGTATTGAACATGTACAACAATTTAATTAAAATTGCAGACTATTTTCTATGATGATGGTGTTACGTTTTCCCCACAAAATTGTGTCACATTTTGATATATTTCTACCTGAGCCAAAAGTTAATGTAAATGTACAATTTGTAAAAGATACAATATAACTTTCATGTGTTCACAAAATCTATCTCTCTTTTTCTGCAAATTTAAATCAAAATACATCCCAAATTATGTATCACATCATGGTGTAAACGCTTCCTTTTTGTCGAAAAAGCAAACAAAATCCTGTTTTAGTGTGTCTCTTTAAATGCAAATTAGCTACAGCTCCCCATGTCTTTTCAGCATGTGCTTCAGTTACTCCGAGCACTTTTCTAAGCACACACTGCAAAAAAAAAATGCTTGTTGTAGTCCAAATATCTAGGAAGTCTCAAATCAAGAAGCTTTTTCTGGACAAGCAAACAATATTGTCTTGTTTTCAGAAATAATAGGCCAAAATTAGGTGAGCTTTTCCTTAAAACAAGCTAAATAATCTGCCAATGGGAAAAGCAAAACAATCAAAAGGATCATCGAAAGGAAAAACAAGATTATTTAGCTTTTTTTAAGGAAAAAGTCACTTAATTTTGATATCTTATTTTTGAAAACAAGACGTGTTGCTTGTCTATATGCTTCTTCTTTTTTTTATTAGAATATGCAAAAAGGTACATAAATTGGGATCATACAAATACAAAAAAAAACATCAACAAAAAACCATAACAAAACAACAATAAAAAACAAAACAAAAACAATATAGTCAGGTACTGTTAGGTGTGATTGTGCGTCTGTGTGTGTGTGTGTGTGTGTGTGTGTGTGTGTGTGTCCATGTAAAGGTAACTTGGTGGAAAGATCAGATTACATACATTAGGAACAATATCAGCCAATAAATGAAGCAAGTATCGCAGATACAAGTAAAACAGATAAAAAAAGAAACCAGTCAGAGTTAGGGAGTAACAACAATGCTTAGTAATGTATGATAGTAATAATGACAGTAAAAAGAAAGAAAGGACAACAGTAATAATAAATGACAATGATAATAAATCACAAGTACTACACCAACTACTACTACAGAAAGTTACTTATATTACTATATAATTATTAACTACTATTGCTGCTACTACAGTCACAACCACAACTATTACTACTATAATGTCTACTAATACTGACTCTACTACAACAATGACTACCACTACTGATACTACTATAGCGTCTGCTACAACTAATACAACAACGTCTACTACTACTACTACTACTACTACTACCGCAATCACTGCTACAACAACATCTACATCAACGACAACTACTACTGGTACTACTACAATGACTACTACTACAACACCAATAACGACTACTACTACTACTGCTACAACAACACATTTATTACTTCTGCTACCACTATACCAACTTTATATGGTATATATGCTTCTTGATGAAAGAAGGCTAAAGGCTAAAGACCATGGCCTCTAGCATCTGTCGCTAGAGCACCTTTAAAGGTCAAAGGAGTAAGGTTTACCTGCACAGCACTATACTAGCTAACCTCTGTTACACTCACCCCCCTAACCCTCACTCCCATCCGGGTCACGGCACCAATGTAATCCCACTGGTCCTACGTCACCCAACCCGCTCCGAGCTGTGATCGAACTGACGACCTGCCGCATGGGGGTCGATTGCTGTAACAAGGAGGCTAAAGACCATGGCCTCTAGCATCTGTCGCTAGAGCACCTTTAGGGGTCAGAGGAGTGAGGTTTACATGCACAGCACTTACTAGCTGGCTTCTGCTACACACAGTGCATTACCAGTATTAAAACAGCATTTATTATTAACACACAAGTGAAATATACACAAAGCTAAGAAAACACAAACAGTAGACATTTAAACTGCCGGTAGCCTAAGACTTTATGAATCACCAAGCACAGCTTTAGCCAAAAATCTTCTTTAATGTACTACTAAAGAAATGAAAACACTTATAAAAATGTTATTTTGCTCTAACTAGAAACTTTAAAACACCTGATTATGTTTCCCACGGGTTGCTTTAAGTTTTATGTGATTGTCTCTTTACTTCTATTAAGTATGATATCAGGCACTTGTGCGAGTGTCTATAGCGCATTAGCCAAAACTCTCAATCAACTCAGTAGCAGCTGTTTTCTCAAATGTGCGGAGGAATTTAAACTGTATTAAAGCTGCGCCTCTTAAAATATTTACAAGACATAATATCTGACGGAAACCTAAGCTCTCTATCTCGATTCCTCTCTCGCGCTCTCCAGGTGGTTGGGGATGAGGTTTGGAAATCATCCGCGTACAGTTGTTCTGTCTGTGAGCGCAAACTATTAGATCAACATCTGGCCTCGCACTGTTCATTTATTTTCCTTTCTCAGCTGTACTTCCCAGAAATCATAATCCTGTCTTTCAACTTCTTGACCTTTTAGATATTTCTTTTTTCCTCTCCAGGCTTAGGTGTGTTAGCTGTGCGCAGCGCGGTGTGTTTTAAAAACCTTCCCGCGTCGCTTCTCATCTGCTACTTGCACAATTGATTCAATACAAAAATCACTGAGCATAAATTTGCATCAAGTCTGGATGCCAAAAAGCACTTGGTTGATGACCAGAGCTGGTGGAAAATCGTTTTCCACAATCTAACCATGATAAATCACAGCAACGGCCAGGGGTTAAGTGTGTGTCAAAAGGGCACAATGGTTATAATTCATGGATCGACTCTTTTGGGGTTTGAACCTGTAACTGTTTGGCCATGAGCCCAGGACTTTAACCACTGGGCTTCACCACCGACACCAGAATCAAGTCTTTTTCCATTGGGGAAAATCCAACAGTGGGAGTGTTGTCCACTATACTTATACTAGCAGGGTTGTGTGGTTTTTCTGAATTGAATGGAAATGGTTTTTAAATTACTGAGTTTGGATTTAATTTAAATGTAGGTAGCAGACAGGTAGAAAGCTGGAATGATGTAAACTGTAAATAAAAAATCATTTAGCTTTAATTAAGCTACAAAAGTGAGAGGAAAACATGAAAAAAAATAGAATAATCCTAATTTAATAAAATGTGTATTAAAACATGGCTATATATATATATATATATATATATATATATATATATATATATATATATAGTTGAAGTCAGAATTATTAGCCCCCTTGAATTATTAGCGCCCCGGGTTATTTTTTTCACCAATTTCTGTTTAATGGAGAAAAGATTGTTTCAGCACATTTCTAAGCATAATAGTTTTAAAAACGTATTTCTAATAACGGATTTATTTTATCTTTGTCATGATGACAGTAAATAATATTTTACTTGATATTTTTCAAGACACTTCTATACACCTTAAAGTGACATTTAAAGGCTTAACTAGGTTAATAGGGTGAACTAGGCAGGTTAGGGTAAATAGGCAAGTTATTGTATAGCGATGGTTTGTTCTGTAGATTATCGGAAAAAAAGTTAGCTTAAAGGGGCTAATAATTTTGTCCCAAAAATGTTTTTTTAAAAATTAATAACTACTTTTATTCTAGCCGAAATAAAATAAATAAGACTTTTTCCAGAAGAAAAAAATATTATCAGACATACTGTGAAAATTTCCTTGCTTTGTTAAAAATCATTTGGGAAATATTTTTAAAAATAAAATAAAATCAAAAGGGGGCTAATAATTCTCACTTCAACTGTATATATTATTCTGCAATATCAGAACTCGTTCAGCCTCCTCACCCTTTTGTATCACTCCACGCACATAGAGTGACAGCCACAAGATGGCGACAGAGACAGCATAATAAGCCCTCAGAGGAGAAAAGGTTGGCGTAATTTCAAACTACAGCTGATCAAAGTATTATAAAATTAGTGAGTGACAGAGAAGTCGATCTCTTTCTTTTTTATGTTGTAGTGCTGTATTTATACCATAGTAATTGTAGAGAATTGAGAGTGAGACAGGACTAATATCAGGAATGTATGTATTTTTTGTTAGCCACCCTTTGTATAACCCTGAGTTACTTTTTGGTTGGTCACGGGTGGGAAGGCACTCGGGCTGCGTCCTTGTGCCAATGCATGCCTCTGTCACGTTTAGCGTGATCAAAACAGAAACAAAAACAGGAACAAAAAGGGTGTGGATCCAAGTGCAGATTTAATGATAAATAGTGCAGCGACAGTGAACAAAAATACAAAATACCAAAGTAACAAAATAACAAACAATCAACAAAACAAGAAACTAAGACAGATAAACACGAACTAGACTTTAGCAAGATACGAGAACAAGATCAGGAACAGCAAACTCGGAATACCAGACTTA